CAAGAAGGTCCGCCGGCCGGGGCGGGGGTGTCGGGGCCGAGGGACGCCGGGCTCCTGCGGTGCCTGCACAGGGGGGAGGTGAGGGGTCGGGGCCTGTTGGAAGTGTGAGGCTCCCCGGAGCTTTAGTCTTTGGGGTACAGGGAGGCCGAGGGGCTGGGGATCTTGAAGGTCAGAGACGGGTAGGAAGGCCCGAAGCTGGCTTTGGAGGATATTGAGTTTTGAGGTTGGAGCCCTTTGCTGGGATACGGGACCATGCAGATCCAGAAAAGACTGAGGGGGCTCTGTCTGGGAGACCAGGGGCCCCAGGTGGCAGGGTAAGCTAGAACCTGGGGTTCCCTGAGAGTAGATGGGATAGCGGGAAGGCCAGCAGTTAAGCCTGCATCTTCAGAGCGCCTTAGGGACCCGGGGTAGGGTCAGGGCAGTACCATTGTGGATCCTGGGAAAGCTGGACTCCTGAGTCCCCTGGAGAAGCCTTGACGTTCTCATCCTTAGTGAGAATTTAGGAGCTGGACGTAGGGAAAATTTCCCGGTTTCCCCTTCAGTAGAGGTAGGACTTTGGACTGACTTTCCCTTACTTATTTTTGTAGGTAGAAAGCAGTTTCCATCCCATCCCAGATCCTTTGTCTCTCCTGAAACTCTACGCTGAAGTTGCTGAGGAAGGTAAGGGAGGGCTCAGCGCTGGCTTCTGAGGAGACATTCTGCAGCCAATATCTCCCTCCTCATTGTCTCTTGAGGGTTGGCAGGGGATGGGATGGGAGAGGAGACTCATGTTGCTGTCTAACCACTGTCCTACCAACTCAGCACAAAACAGTGTTAATTTATAGATTTCAAGTGCGACCTCCAGATATTCTGATTCTGTAATCCTAGTGAGGGCAGGATAAGGGGGAGTGTTGTGAAACTGTGACATCTAGTTACATTTGCAACAAGTTTCTTGAGAACACTCCAGAACCAGCAGAATGTTCACTGAAACTTATCTAGTCTTTCAGTCTTTATCCTTCCCTAGGATAAGGATCTTTTGCAAAGGACAGTGAATAGGATCCCTAATAAGGAAGTCATCCAGGTTGCAGATGTAGACTTTGGACCTAGGTTTCTCTAGCATGAAGGAGCATGACAGACTAAGAGCACACTTAGGAGCCATCTGGCCTGGGTTTGAATGCCAACTCCCTTAATAGCTGTGTGACCGTGGGCAAATTACTTATCTTCTTAATGTTTCAATTTCCTCACTGGGAAAATGAGGATAATAGTGGATCTATGTAAAAGGGTGAGAATTATTTAAAGTGAATATAGAGAGAGCTGTCTTGTCCCTGTGATGATTTAGGACAACAGTATGTAGAAGATTGATGTGCCATTGTAAACAGTACTTCCATTCTTGCTACTCAAAATGTGGACCCAGCCATGTTAAACATCCCAGGGTAGCTTGATAGAAGTGTAGAATTTCATATCTGTGGCAGATGCTGTATTTAGCCAGGACGGGATTTCTCAACCTCAGCATTACTGACATTTTGGGCTAGAAAATTCTTTGTCGTTGTTGGGGGTCTGTGTTGTGCATTGTAGAAACTTTAACACCACCCTGACCTCTCTCTACTTGATGCCAATAATGTACCTCAACCCCCACTACATTGTGACAACTAAAATTGTCTCCATTGTTGCTACATGTTCTTCAAGAGGCAAAATTGTCCCTGATTGGAAACCATTGATCTAAAGTTCATCATCATGGTTTCATTTGCATTTTTTTTTTTTTTTTTTTTTTTTTGTATTAGGGTTTAACTCAGGACCTTGTACTTTTGAGGCAGGTGTCAGCACTACTGAGCTAAAGCCTTGGTCCTTCATTTGCATTTTCATGTGTTGTATGTATTTATTTGCTTTTTTATTGCTGGTGTTGGAACCCAGGTCCTCGGACCTGCTAAGCAAGCACTGAGCTATAGTCCCAGCCCAACTGTATTTATTTTTGTGCTTTGTAATCTTTGTTTTTTTTTTTTTTTAGATCTGGTACATGGGCTTAAACCTAGGGCCTTGTACGTGCTAAACATACAGTCTACCACTGATCTATACCCCAGTCTTATGATACTTTTTCATTGAAATGAAGCAAATGGGAAAAAGTTTATATTCTAGAATAATTGATTTTTTGGATAAATATCTAAAATTTATTTAAATGATGTCCAAAATCCTATTTTGTATGTGAGCCTAACACATGCACATAGTAGATCCAGAGCAACATAGAAGAAGCTTCAAAACTGCTCAGAATATTTGACTTTTTAAATTAGAAATTTAAGTTAAAATGAGTGAAGAAAAATATTCAGCAAATAACAGTTATGGCCCCTGAGTACTTTTCCAGTATTCTTGAGTGGTCCTATGTGTGTTTGGGGGATAGCAACCTCCTTTGTCTGACCCTTTTTTTTTGCAAAAATATTTTTTGGTGTTGATAAAACTCAGGGCCTTGCTCATATCCCCACCCCTTAGACCCTTCTTAACGTCTCTGACTTGTTTCTCCTTGGCCTCCCTCTGTCTTCTCATAGTAATTTTTTACACTTTTCCTGCTCTTCCTTCAGAGGCAGATATGGCAGAATCCAGCAGTCCTCACCCTGAGGAGCCCCCATTTCCCAGTTCTCCCTGGAAGAAACTGAGGAGTAAGGATGAGAAGGAAGAGAAGAAAAAGGTGTTACTGTGAGTGAAGTGGGGGCACTCTGGCCCAGGGAACAGGAAGGGAATTGGAGAGGTAAGGTGAGGCAGACGGGACCCTCAGCTGGCTCCTGAAAGGGTAAGTAGAAGGCATAGAAGGTCTCTGGAGGCTCAGGTTGGAAAGAAGCAGCCCACCCTTGAGGATAGCACAAGACTTTCAGACCATCCATGAGAAGAGAGTCAGGTGGGCAATGCAGTGACACTCAGCTGGCTGGTTGTCCCCCACCTTCTCAGTGTTTCTGTTTCTGTAAAATGGGGTTAATCATGGTAACTGTCAGAGTTGTTGAATAGATAAAGACTAATAAGTGCCTGGTGTAAATATTTGTTATCAAATATTTACCTAGAAAATGACTTATTTGGGCCTGGGATTTAGCTCAGTGGTTCTGCAGCTTGCCTTGCAAGCACAAGGACCCGAGTTTGCTCCCCCGTACCAAAAAAAAAAAAATGACTTATTTTAAAGTAGGCATTTTCCTCCCTCATATTTGGGTCTTATAAATATAAAAATGATGTCTTAGTTTTTCTCTATCCCATACCTACCTTTGTCTTCCAGTAAAATGGATGTTACTGGGAGGTGCTTGTTGATTTTCTAGCTCCCTTTCTGGTTCCTGGGGATCCACAGCCCATGTAAAGAAGTATGGGGTTGGAGTTTTTCCTTAGCCTCCATCCTGTCCCTCTCTTCTCTTTACAGGGTTGAGGACACCTCTCCTTTGCCCTCACCTCCACCAAGAAGCAAAAGCAGGAAGCATACTCAGGCACTGCAGAAGTTAAGGTACCAGAGGCTGGGGCTCCTTGCTGGGGTAGGGAGGGGCAATTTGGTAGATGGCCAATCCCAGCTGACCCAAAGTCTTCTCTACACCCAGGGAGGTGAACAGACGCCTCCAAGATCTCCGATCCTGTCTGAGCCCCAAGCAGCATCAGGGCCAAGACCACCAGAGCCAAGATGATGAGGTTCTCCTTGTAGAGGGGCCTGTCCTTCCAGACAACCCCCGGCTTTTTTCACTCAAAGTCCGGTGCCGGGCTGATGTGATCCGATTGCCCATCAAAATGGTAAGTGCTTGAGGGCCTACAAGAGGAGGATCTAGGAGCTGCCGTGGAAGGAGGGACCAGCAGGAGGGACCACATCTCTTTCCATCCTGCTCCTAGAGCTTCCCCACCACTTTCATCCCTCCATTCCTTATGCTTGCTGTCCCCTCTGTTTTTTACCCCTCAGTCCCCTCTTTTTCTGGCAGACTTCCTACTCCTTCTTCAAGGCTTCACTTAAGAGGTGTCTTCTTGGAAGCATTTCTTGGGAGTTCCTCTCTAGAGCCTGTGTTTTTCTCCTGGGGTTGCCCTCACTTGCTGAACACACTAGATGTCATTCAATCATCCTGAGTTCCCCAGCTTCCTGGCAAAGGCAGATTTGTGTAGGAATGGCACCGGTCAACACCAAGATGATAACAGAAATGAGCACTATTATGAGTCAAGCAGCTAAGCTGTTGGCCGCAGACTGGCTGTCTATGGCCTTCTTAACAGTGATCTGCTGTCTACTCTGTAGGTGCATTTAACATAGATGTGGGGCTAGAGATGGGTGTGACTCAAGATAGAGTGCTTGCCTAGCAGGGTGAGAGGCTCAGTTCTGCCCTCAGCTCTGCCAGATAAGAATCTTTGCAGTGGATATTTAGACAGAGGCTCAAGTTTCTGGTGTTTCTGTCTTTTTTTTTTTTTTTTTTGTACTGGATATCAAACTTGGGACCTTGTGCTTTGCAAGGCAGGTGGTGGAACCACTGAGCTAAATCCCTGGCCCTCTGGCTTCTCTTAAAAATAGAAAGTTGCAGTCAGACTGACCCATATTCATACAGGGTATCCCCTTTTTCTCTTAAACCATGACTGCTTTATTTATTTGTTTGTTTTATTTATTTTGTGCTACTGTCATGACTTCATTTTATACTTGGTAAATACGGTGACACTCACAGCTGAGGAGTTCAGGCCAGAAACTTGTGTTTGGGGTAGTGGTGTTAGAGTAGAAGTGGGCCAGGGAATTTCAAGGCAGGAAGGCTACCTTTGCCTCTTATCCCTTATCCTCTTATTCCTTAGTCAGAACCCCTTCAGAGGGTAGTGGACCACATGGCCTCTCATCTTGGGGTATCCCCAAGCAGGATCCTCTTGCTCTTTGGAGAGACAGAGCTGTCCCCTGCTGCCACCCCCAGGACCCTAAAGCTCGGAGTGGCTGACATCATTGGTGAGTAGAAGACAAGGTAGTTGGGCCTTGAGGAGGTTTTTTGCTACTGGAGGTAAACAGAGGAGTGGCCCAGTACGGGGCCTGTTTCCAACCTGGTTTCCTGATCCTGCTTCCTGCAGACTGTGTGGTGCTGGCAAGTTCCTCGGAGGGTGAAGAGGTGTCCCAACAGCTCCGGCTCAGAGTGCAGGGGAAAGAGAAACACCAGATGCTGGAGATCTTGCTGTCTCAAGTGAGTGGGAGAAGTGGCCATGCATGTTCCCCCACCTTTTCTCTGCTCTCTGTCTTGTAGGTGGCAGATTCCTTCTCACCCTGACTCTGGAGACACTGCTCTCCCTGTTCTTGGGTGCCTTTACAGCCTATATCGTGGAGGAAGCCCATCATTCAACTTCACTTCTCTTCCTGCTGGGACCTCTGCTGTAGTCTGTAACAGCCATATGTGGGAAAGCACCATTGTTACACGCAAATAAGGCAGTGGTAGGGGCTGGGGGTTTAGCTCAGTGGTTCCATCACCCGCCTCACAAGTGCAAGGACCTGAGTTTGATCCCCAACCAATAAAACAGGAAACCAAGATCTAGAAAAGTAGAATAATTTACTGTATTCATTTGTTATAGCAGCTGTAGCGAAATACAGTATGGGAGTTCCCCTTACCTGGGGTTTCCCTCAGTGGCTTTAGGTACCCACAGAACAAAATATTAAGCAGGAAATTCCAGAAGCAATTCATAAATTTTATTTATTTATTTATTTATTCATTATTTAGAGAATATTTGTTTCTGTGATCAAATGTATGTAGATAAGACCTTACATATTTAATATAGTACGTTACCCCTGTACAAATGGAAAAAAAATTAACATTTCTAGACCAATATGGCTGTTAATTTCTGTACAGTGCCAACCAATTCATAAATTTCAATTGTTTTAAAGCATTCTGAGTAGTGTAATTATCAGGGACCCCCACAGAGGTTTCCAGTCTCCTGCTTGGTGCTGTGATGCAAGGCAAGAAGAAAGACTTAGAGACAGAATCAAAGTGAAGTGGGGGACTAGAATGGTCAGTGCTGAGCAAGCAAGGACCCTGAAACAGCCAGAACTGCCCATGTTTATTGGTGACACAATCATCTGTTTAGTTGGGATGATAGCTGATTGTAAAAGAAAGGACAAAGCATTGCGTTAGGAAGACAACAGATCAAATATATGTTGTGGTTGCTGATTAACCCATCTTTTCAGTTAAGGTTTCAATACTAGGAATGGAATTTGGGTAAGAGTCACCCTGACCTCAGCTCTCGAGTTATTTTGTCATAGCCCCACGGCCTCACAGACCATTTCTCTGGTCTCTACTGTGGCTGTTGGCGGGGGTGGGAGTGCTGCTAACCCACGTGCATCCACAGTGCTCTTGTGAGTCACGTAGATTTTGGCCAGACCCACTTCTTAAAACAAGCCACTTGTGGGGTCAGCTCCTACACTGTGTACAGCCTGCTTTGGGCATAATCCACAGGGTGTTCTCTCGCAGTAACAGTCTCGCACAGTACTGTCATCATCATCCCACTCAGGTGTGGACCATAACCTTGTCCACACTTGCCGTACTGCATACACTGTCCGATGGTCTGTTAGTCAGTAGCTGTCTGGGTTGTCAGACTGACATTGACGGTATCATAGTGCTTGTGTTCAAGTAATCATAATGACAAGTAATGCCTAATGATACTAGCAATTTGGATGTGACAAAGAGAAGCTGTAAAGTCCGACCATCATCCATTCTTCCTTCCTTCCTTCCTTCCTTCCTGAGGCAGGTTCTCCCTTTGTAGTTCAGGCTGGTCTTGAACTTATTTTATAGCCCAAGCTGGCCTCAAACTGGCAGTAATCCTCCTGCCTCAGCCTCCCAAGTGCTGGGATTATAAGTGTGTGCCACTATGCACAGCTAAAGTGCTTTCTTTAAATGAAAATTATTAAGGAAATCACATGCCGAGGCTGCTAAAATCCACTGTACAAAAAATAAATAAAATCCACTGTACAATAAGATATATATGGGGGGCAGGTGTGCCGGGGATCGAACTCGGGCCCTTTGAGGCAGGCGGCAGCACCACTGAGCTAAATCCCCAGCCCACAGTAAGATATTTTCGAGAGAGACAGATAACATTCATATAACTTTTATTGAATTTTACAGTCTATTGTTAAGATTGTTCTAATTTATTACTAGTTGCTAATTTCTTTTTATTTTACTAGTTGCTAATTTCTTACTCTGCCTAATTTATAAACTTTAAGTGTATATAAAAGAAAAAATAGTATATATAGTCTTGGTTTCAGGCATCCACTGGGGATCTTAGAATGATGGGCATCACTGTACCACAGGCTGGGTGACTTATAACAATAGGAATGTATTATCTTACAGTTCTGAAGGCTGGGACTCTGATATAAAGGTGTTAGTGGGATCGTATAACCTCCAAAACTCTGGGTAGAATCCTTTGCTTCTGTCTAGCTTCTGGGGTGGCCAGAGCCCCTTGGCTTGCAGCTGTGTCACTTTTAGGACATACGTCATATTGGACTAGCAGCCATTCTAATCAAGTATGGCCTTATCTTAACTTGATTATGTTTTCAAGGCCTTGAATCTAAATAAGGTCATGTTCATATTTACCAGGGGTTAGGAACGTAAGAACCTTTTCTGGGAGACCAGTTCAACCCATAATACTTTTTTTTTTTTTTTTTGAGACAGGGTCTCACTATGTAGTCAAGACTGACCTGGAACTCACTATGTAGCCCAGGCTGGTCTTGAACTCACAGTGATCCTCCTGCCTGAGCTTCCTGAGTGCTGGGATTACAGGCGTGTGCCACCATGCCCAGCCCAATACTTTTTTTTATTTGAACCAACTTACTTGGTAACACCTTGGAGTTAATTTTTTATTTATTTATTATTTTTTGTGGTACTCGGGATCTTGCACTTTGTGAGGCAGGTGGTGGCACCACAGAGCCTAATCCCTGGCCCTCCATAACACTTTTCTAAGGTCACACATAAATAGGTGGGAGAGTCTGGCCCCTGGCTTGGATCGTTTGCATTCTAGAATCTGGACTGTCTTAGGATATATTGATAGACATTGTATGTGTGTGTGTGATTTTTTTTTTTTTTAGAATAGGAAAAATTTAGGAAAGAAAGCTTTTGTCTAAGAGACAGAGTGGACTGGAAAATGGGTTGCCCTGATATATTGATATATTGTCCGAGTTCCCAAGAGGAACCCAGCCGCACTGGCTTTCTCATCCACTTCCCTTCCCTCCAGGGGTCTCTGATGTCACTGATTGGCCCGACCTGTCTCAAGTTCTTTGTCCATCTCTGTAGGGATCTCCCCAACCCTCCTGTCATGTTTTTACATAGATTTTTTTTTTTTTATCTCTCCTCCAGGATTCCCCTCTTGAGACCCTCATGTCTCACTATGAGAAGGCCATGGGACTCTCTGGCCACAAGCTCTCCTTCTTCTTTGATGGGACAAAGCTCTCAGGCAAGGAGCTACCAGCTGATCTGGGGATGGAATCTGGGGACCTCATCGAGGTCTGGGGCTGACATGCCACTCCCTGTTTGGAGGCCCAACTGGGACTTAGAAGAAACTCCTTTTTGGTCCTCTAAGGATGAGCAGAAGGTGAGGTAGAGTTTATTTTTCATCTGAATCAAAAGCAAGAGCTGACTGGGCCCCATCTCCTGTCAGCCCTGGCCTCACGCTGTTTTAACCACTAGGTTAATTGTGTGGGGCTTGTTGCTGCCCCCAGTGGCCTGTACCACCACGCACATGTGCTGAGTTTTGCAGCCCACCTGTGCCCTTGGACCTCTGTTACTGCCCTTTGCTTCACTAAAATATGTTCTATGAAACTTTGCTCGTGTTTAAAGAGTGAGTTGAAATAAACAAGGGTTGGTTGTGGTTTTCCAGGTCTGGGATTTATACCACACTGAGGACCAACAGTGGCCTTATTCTCACTGGGGTCTGAGTTTGCTGGGGGCATGTGCATTGCAGGCTCCTTAGCACACAGGAGAGCAGGTGAGCAGTGCATGTGTGCTGAGCTTAAGCACAGGTAGACAGGATAGTCTTTTAGGGTAATAGGAGTGGAATCTGAGCCCTGAGTGTCTCCTCAACCCCAGGACTGTAGTCACCTTTTCCGGTGCACATATTTAAGCCGTTCTGCTTTGGATCTTGGGCATACAGTCTCATGCAAAAATTCTCTGATTTTTATGACCTTTTCTCTTTACACCATCCTCTCTCCTTAACACCCATCTAATGTATTTATTGTGCATTTGAATATGAATCTGTCATTAAAAGTTTTATGAGTGAATGGAATTGTGCAATAATAGATCTAATATTCTCTTCACCCACCCACCCATAGCTCTTGCCTGCTGTGCATTGTATCCCCGTCATTGCTCTGACTGCTTCCGGGTGTGCCACGGGCATCACCCGCGTTTTACTCACACGATGCCTTAAGTGGCTGACGCCTGGGTGCTCCAGCGCCTTGGCGCTGTGCACAGGCCATGATGAGCAACAGCCTTTTCTGGGGCCCTTTCTGTGCTTGTTCTCTAGCCTGTGTGCCCTGGAGAGGATTAAGGATCATACAGATGAGTTTCTCCTGCTTCCCAGAGTTTTCCTCAGAATGGGGATTGATTCTCTTTGGAATCTTCCCTTTCTTCTCCTGCTTACCAGCACTGAGTATTTTCCAGGTTTCTGATTTGGGCTGATCTGATGGATATAAAGTGACACTGTGTTTTAATGTGCATTCACCTGATCACCATTAATTTAGGTCCTTTTTTCTTTTTTAAGTTGAGCAGGGAGTACACACACTGTAATTCCAGCACTGTGGAGACTGAGGCAGGATTATAAATTCAAGCACAGCCTTGGCAGTTTAGCGAGACTCTGTTCTAGAATAAAAGATAAAAAAGGGCCAGGGATATAGCTCAATGCTAACGCCCTTGGCTCAATCCTAGCACTGCCAAAACAAAGAACAAAAAAGAGTGTTTAAATGTGTCAGCCTTTCTGATTTCTCTTTTTGTGAATTGCTCATTTTCTCATGGATCTTCCTTTTTTTGTTTGTTTATTCTGAGGAGTTGCTTGTGTATTCTTGGGAGATTGCAAATAACTCCTAGAATGGTACTTTGTGTTTGTAGGGCTTTCATTGAACATTCTTGACCACCCCCAAAACCCATACCAGGGATCGAACTCAGAACCATGTGTTTGCAAGGCAGGTGCGGTGCCACTGAGCTAAATCCCAGCTCCTATTCTTGATTTTCATGTAGACAAATTAACCATTTTGTTATAATGTTTTCGCTTTTTACTGTCTTATTTAAAACTAGTTATAGATATTATCATTTTCTTCTGTTAGCTTGGTTTTTCCTCTCCTAGTGAGGCCACTAAATAAGGCTAAAGTCCAGCTAGGGCACCGTGGTGTGGACTGGCTGGTGGCTGTTCTGGAGGTCAAACCTTTGGTTGTCACTGGTCGATACCAGGCCAGACTGGCTGCTAAATACTGAGCATCACTTTTTTGTTGTTGTTGTTGTTTGTTTTTTGTTTTTTTGAGACAGGGTCTCACTATGTAGTTGAGACTGACCTGGGACTCACTATGTAGCCCAGGATGGTCTCGAACTCAGTGAACTATGGAGCAGCATCACTTTTAAACGATTTAAAAGGCACGTTTTTTTAATGTGAGACCAAATTGGGTTTTTTTAAAACCATAGGACAAGCCAGTTTTATCAGTTTTGTCTACTAAAAAAGACATTAATTGACCACTGATAGTGGTATGATTTTAGCAAAGGTATGTCAACTTCATAATAAAATTTTATTGTATGTAGAGTTTCTTTGAATTTTAAAACATTTGAAGTAATTCATGATACGTTATAGCTCTTCCTGTTTTCAGATCTTTTATGCCCATTAATAAGTTTGTACACATTAAGATTATGTATTCAATCTCAGCAGAATAAGTGGAAATATATTCAACCTGTGTGTGCTTGACGATTTCTGACTGTGCGGCCTTGGTGTGACACCTGCTAATCCTTGTGACAGAGGCCGTTAATTATTTCCCCATACCCATTTTTGCCCTTCCCAGGTACTAGTGCCCACACAGCAGACACAGCACAGACAATATGGTCAGTGCTTCGTGTCAGCGCAGCTGCATCCAGAGATTCAACCAGCACTAGTTGAAACTGTTAGGGAAAGAAATGGATGTCTGTACTGAGCATGTACAGACTTTCTTCCTGTTACTCCCCAAGCAATGCTGTGTAACTATTTACATAGCGCTTACATGGTAGCAGGTATCACTTGGAATCTAACTAGAGGGGGCCAGGTGCCAGCTCTGGCTCCCAAGTGGCAGAGGTGCCGCTTCTAGGAAGTCTCCACAGGGGCAGCGTGTGCCCGTGTGCCCTCTCCTCTCCTGCCTCGTGCCTGCCGACTGGATGTGAAACAGGTCTTCTGACACTGGCTTGCCTCATGGCAAGACTGAGAGAGCCTGGCTTACCAGCCCCCCTTAGCTTCTATGTGAATGAGGAACTTTGTCTTGCTTAAGTAAATGTTATCTTAGGATTTCTGTCACCTAAAACCAAACCCAGTTTTAACTCCAAGATGTGGAAATGCTGAGCCCCGGGTGGTGTATGCCTGTAATCCCAGCACTCTGGAGGCTGAGGGAGGAGGATCTCCACAAGTTCGAGACCAGCCTGGGCTCCATAGTTCAAGGCCAACTGGAACTACATAGTGAGACCCTGTCTTAAAAAACAAAAACAAATATATCACAACACTGTAGTGATCCCCTTGGGGTACTAGAGAGTTTCTTAGATGTTTATAACCAGGAATAGAATCACCAGCCGCTAGTAGAGCGTGCATCTTCCCAGCTTCTCACTCTCTCCTCCCTATCTTTATTTTGCAGTAGTGGGATTCAGCCCACGGTTTTCACACTGAGCTACAGTCCCAACCCATTAAAAAAAAATTTTTTTTTCTTTGAATTTGGAGACAGGGTCTCACCAAATTGCTCAGGCTGGACTCGACTTTGTGATCTTCCTGCCTCAGCCTCCCAGAGTGCTAGGATTACAAGCATTACCATCACACCCCTCTCCAGCTTCTCTGAGTTCTGTTAGATTGATAACCCAAGATAGACCATCAGCAATCACTAGAATGTTCCAGTGTCTTGTCTTTGCTAGTTTATCATCTGGGAAGGAGATGGGAAAGATTTCCTTGTGAAAGAATTTGCATTGTCTGTGGCAAAGGAGTTTGCCCTTTCCTGGGCTCGTTTCATAATCTCATCTTCAGAGCAACCCTGTGCTGTGGGCGGTGTTCCCATTTTACAGAGGAGAGAGGGCACTGAGATGAGTGAACCTGCCCCACACCACCTCGCCTCCAGCCACAGAGCCACATGTAAATGCGTGAGCTGATACAGGACTGCAGAATTTTTGTCTGTTTGTGTTTTGAGACAGGGTCTCACTATGTAGTTGAGACTGACTGGAACTCACTATGTAGCCCAGGCTGGTCTCAAACTCACCGCGATCCTCCTGCCTCAGCCTCCTGAGTGCTGGGATTACAGGTGTGCGCCACCATGCCTGGCAGGACTCAGAATTTTTGAGACCAGTGATTCTCATTCATTCTCTGTCTCTGTCTCAAACGTGTGGCAATCCTTCTGCTCGATGCTGGACCAGCTGCTCGGGGTGGTATGTGAGAAGCGCGTCTCTAACAAGTTCCCGAGGATGCAGCACTCAAGTAGCAGGGCCTCACCAGCATCAGACATTGCAGTTACTTAATGAGTTTGTTGAATGAATCATTCCCCCACTGTAATCCCATTGCATGGGCCAGAAATCTTCACTCTTCTTTTCTTTTTGGCGCTGGGGATGAGACAGACGTGGGTCGTGCGTGCCTCTTAACTCCCACCCACTCCATCATCACCTCAGCTCCACTTCCCCAGCTCCCTCTTCAGAGGCTCACTTTTGTCCCATCCGACCCAGTCCCAGTGCCACTGGCTGCAACCTGGACTCATGTCGCAAGTCACCCTGCTGCCTCTCCGGCCCATCTTCTGTGCTGCAGCCACAGTGACTGCCAGTATGAATCTCATTTTATTTATTTTGAGGACCTGGTGTAGATGAATCTCATTTTATTTACTTTGAGGACCTGGTGTAGAACCTACCACTGAGCTATACTCCAGGAAGGTTTTGTTTTGTCTTTCTTTTAGACAGGGTCTTGCTTGATAGTTCAGGCTGCCCTTGATCTCATGGCGATCCTCCTGCCTCACACTCCCAAGTGGTGGGATTATGGGCGTGTGCCATCATGCCTAGCTGCCATTTTATTTAAGACAGGGTTTCACTAAGTTCCCAGTCTAGCCTTGAATTTGTGATCCTCCTCAGTCTCCTCTGATGAGATTATAGGTATATGCTACCATGTAAGTTTACTTATTTTTTTAAGAGATGAGTCTTGTTGTGTTGCCCAGGTTGGTCTTGAACTCCTGGGCTCAAGCACTCCTTCTCAGCCTCTGAAGTAGCTGGAACTATAGGCACAAGCTCCCATGTCTGTCAAATCTGATTTTTAAATTAAATTTTGCAGCACTGGGAAACAGTACCATTGAGCTACACTCCCAACCCCAGATCTGATTTTAAAGTGCCACATTTTAACCTGGCCCACCTGGCCAGGCTCTTCTGTCCCACTGCTCCCCATTTACCCTTCTCTCAGATGTGTCCATCCTGCTTCCTTCCTTGAGCAAGGCCTTTGGGCATCATGTTCTCCTCTTCCTTCCCCCTGTAGTTGAGTAGCGCCCATATCCCTGGACGCTGTGTTCCAGGACACGCCGTAACCATCGTCATGTACCAGATGCTGTGTACGGCAGAATCGAGGTACTCAGTTGGTTTCAGAAGGCACAGCAAGTACCAAAAATAGTAGGTACCAAAAAAAGTTGTTTTGGCTGAAAAGGGTAATGCAAGCCGGGGTAATCGACACCAAGTGCTAACTGGTACATAGAGTACCGAACAACCAATACTGGGGCAAAGTTTTCTCATGAATATGCTCCAGGTACCAAATTCCACAAGTTTCAAAGCAGTCAAGTACCAAGGTGCTTTTCTCCGTACATACATATGATAAAGTTTAAAAATTAGGCACGAGATTAGTATTGACTAAAAAAACGGACAGTAGGGGCCAGGAGTTTAGCTCAGCGCTGCTGCCTCCTGCCTTGCAAGTGCAAGGTCCTGAGTTCCATCCCCGGTATCAAAATGAAAAATGAAAAAAAGAGACAGTGACAACAATGCACTGGAATAAAGGTTACATAAATGATTTTTATGGACTGGACTGCAGCGTTAGCTTCAGCTGACCACAGGTCATGGAAAACCTCGGGTAAAAGGGACTTGTGTGTTAGCCATACTGAAGCTCATGGCCCCCTTCTCTGAGAAACTCAGAGTCTTTACGCACATGTTGGACTTGTTTTGTGGCTCTTGTCATCAGTGAACTTTTCGTTCAAGAAATTTCATGTGTGCTTAGATTTCATGAACCACGATTTCCAAAGCAAATAGCAAAACTTGGATTCCAGTTTAAACTGACTAGACCCACACAGGCATATGTTTCTAACCTTAAAGGAATCTTAAGAGATTTTTTTGTTTTTTTGTTTGTTTTGTTTTGTTTTAATTTAAAAACAGTCCAGGGCTGGGGATTTAGCTCAGTGGTTCTGCTGCCTGCCTCACAAGTGCAAGGACCTAATTTTGATCCCCAGTAACCCCCAAATAAATAAATAAAATAAAATAAAAACAGAGTCTGGCTAAATTCTCCAACTGGACTAGAATTTGTGATCCTTTTGTCAGCTTCACAGTGCTGAAATTATAGGTTTGTATCGCCACTCCTGGCTTAAAATATTTGCTTTTATGCCAAGTTTTAGTTTCATTAATATCAGTGGTACTTACTGTGTTTGGACCAGAAGCTTTTTGTTTTTTAACTTACTGGAGTTTAATTTATATGCCTAAAAGTTCACTCATTTGTATGTACAGTTCAGCAAGTGTCAGAAGTTTGCAGTTACGCAGAAGTTTCCTTGCTTTCCCTCTGATCCCAAGCAACCACTAATCTGCTTCCTGTTACCTTTGTTTTGCCTTTTATAGATTTTTAAATTTTTAATTTTTAATTTTTTTAGATAGCGTCTTACTGTATCATCCAGCTTCCCTTGAATTTCTGGGCTCAAATCTGTACTCTAGGTGCCACCACCATGCCAGGCCATGCAGTTTTCATGTACATGAAATGATACAGTATGCAGCCTTTTGTGTCTGGCCTCTTTCACTTAACATGGTGTTTATTTTTTTATTTGCTGAATTATTAAAACAAATTGATTTAGAAAAACCATAGAATTAAAATTTCTGACATATAAACATACTGCCATGTTCCTGAAATACGGTAACACCAACATAGTGTTTGAGATTTAACCATGTTTTATCCATAATACCTTCTTTTTATTGCTGAGTAATATTCTCTTGTATGGCTGTGCTATTCGTGTTGATGGATGTGTGTGTATTTGTGTGTGTGTGTGTGTGTGTGTGTGTGTGTGTGTGTGTGATTATTTATAGCACTGGGGATTCAACATAGGGGAGGGCTGAGCTACATCCTCAACCCTTTGTTTTTTTTTTTTTTTTGGTACTGGGGATCAAACTAGGGACCTTGAGCTTGTGAGGTGGGTGGCCACACCACTGAGCTAAGTCCCCAGCCTGAACCCTTTGTTTTTGAGGTAGGGTCTTACTAATTTGCCCATGCTGGCCTCAGACTTGCAATCTTCCTGCCTCCCTAGTAGCAGAATGTGTCACCACACCTAGTCATAATATTTTTGTTTTTGTTTTCTTGTGGTATTGGGGATAAAACCTAGGCATGCTAGTCAGGTGCTCCTGCCTTCTTGGCTCCTATGAATAATGCTTCTTGTGTGTGTGGTTCTGGGGATTGATCCCAATGCCTTTGTATGCCCCAGTCTTTTATTTTATTTATTTATTATTTATTTTGGTTTTTTGAGACAGGGTCTCACTATGTAGTTGAGACTGATCTGGAATTTACTATGTAGCCCAGGCTGGTCTGGAACACACAGCAATCCTCCTGCCTCAGCCTCCCTAGTGCTGGGATTACAGGCGTGTGCCAGCATGCCTGGCTGTTTTTTATTTTTTGAGACAGCTCTCTATGTGAAGTCATTGTGTAGCCCAGGCTGGCCTCTAATCTGTGGTAATCCGCTTTTCTCATCCTCAAAAATGCTGGGATTACAGGTTTGTATCACCATGCCTGGCTACTCCTAGCCTTTTTTGTTTTAGGGACAGAGTCTGCTCAGTCACTTACTTGCCCAAGCTGTGCTCAGACTTTCAGCCCTCCTGCCTCCTGCCTCCTGCCTCTGCCTCCCAGAGTGCTGGGGTTGATTAAAGACCTGTGCCATCACACTGGGCTTGTATAATGCTTCTATGAACATTCATGCACAATTTTTTGTTAGGACATGTTTTCATTTCCTGTTGGTGGATACCTAGGATTGGAACTACTGAGTCACATGGAAAGTGTATATTTAATTTTAAATAAACAGTTGAATTGTTTTTCAAAATGATTGTACTTCACTTGCCTTCACAGTAACCTTGTCTTTTCTCCAGTGGCTAAATATTGCTTCCACTATTTGGTATTGTCAGTTTTGTTTTGAACTATTCTAATATAGTGATAGCTCAATGTGGGTTTTTTTGTTTTTGTTTTTGAGACACTCTTCAGGCTGGCCTTGAACTGTGTAGCCTGGGCTGGCCTCAGACTTGGGGCAATCCTCCTGCCTCAGCCTCCTGAGTGCTGAGATTACAGGTGTGCACTGCCACATCCGGTGTTTACTGTGGTTTTACATATTTTTCGTAAATGGCCCATGATATCATATACTTGTTGGCCATCTGTATATCTTCTTTTGGGAAATCTCTGTTCACATATTTTGCCATTTAAAAATTGCTATTTGCCCATTGAGTTTGAAGACTTATGCGGATGCATCTGAACAGAAGCCCTTTGGCAGATCCACGCTTTGCTTGCCTTTTGGTCCCGCGGCTGCAGTGAACAGCTATCAGGCTCCTCCATGCAGCTTCGTGAAGGGAGGGACTGCCAGGCGCGCGCAGTAACATTTGCTGGAGAATTAAATGACTCCAGTCTGAAGTTCCTGTCTGCAGGGGCCCAGGCCTAAGGTTCCAGACTCGAGCGCGCGCTAGCAGTGCCAAGCCGCGTACTCAGGGCTCAGAGTAGATTCTGATAAGGCACTTTGGGGACCAGGTGATTTCTCGACACTCCGGAATTGCGTCTGAAGTGTGCTTGGAAGAGGGATTTTGAAGCTGTCTTTGCACGGAACGGTGGCAGCCTTCCTCAGTGTTGTCCCGCGGCTTGGATGCTGCGAGTGTCCCCTAAGGGCCCCTGCACACTGTCTGGAGACCGCCGGAGGGCGCAAGGGCTCCGTCCAGCTGGCAAGCAGGAAGGCGGTTGGGATGGGGGTTTCAGTACGGATGCTCAGGGTCGGGGAATCTGAAGGAGAGAGCAGGCAGCGGGTCACCCTCCAGTCCTTCCACCTGCAAGAAGCCGCGCAGACGCTGTGACTCACTGCCTCAAGCGAGAACTGGTCGGTCACAGCATCTCTGGAGACATTTGGAAGTTCCAAAAACCTTTGGGGCCCCCAATATTTTGTTTGCTCCATGAGACGCCCTCCAGTTGGTAGATTTGGAAAAGGCCACCGAGATTCGCTAAGGCGCGGGGTCCACAGGGGCGGGCCTGGGCGGCCGGTCGCCCTAGCGTGCGGCCCGAGACCAGCTCCCCGGTTA